GTGCCTTACATTTGTAATGCTATTTAAAGAGATCTGCTATTTAAGATATTTATTTTGAGTTGACTTATGTTGCGCTCTAAGATCACAGACTTGGAAGCGGTACTGTATGGATATAATGTATTCATCTCATGGCATATTATTATTATTATTATTATAAGTTATTGAGTAGGCTTAGTTGTAGTATTATTAACATACTCAACCAAAAGTGTTGTTGTAGGACTTATTTAAAATACAAATCTGTATGTGCACTGTACAAATCTTTTTTTTTTTCTTTTTTTTTTTATTATACATTTGGAATTTTAGAACATGACATTAAATATCAGCTAGTTTAATGCCTGACGTATGACATTTTGTTTTATTGCAGGCCTGTTGTTTTTGGGGGCATGTTATATCCATTTGTCATATCCAGAACTGTTTAAAAGGACAAAAAAAAAAAAAAAAAAAGAGCGAAGGGACATGCTGCTTCATACACTAGAATGTATTGTCAATGTCGAGGATGGATGCTGTGCTTCTATTGCTTTAAATATGCATCAGATGGGCTATTTTACACTGTTGAGAATTTTTATACTTGAACTCTTTCTTACAAGGGAAAATATGAGAAGAAGAAAAAAAAAACCAAGAAGAATAACAACAACACAAAAAAGGACACATTTTTCATTGTCACTGGATTTGGGCATGTAAAGTGTTAATGACTATTTAAATACAAACGTTCTGTAGGTATTTAAGCCTTATTTCAGATTTTCAACACTATTTACTCTAAATGGAAATAAAAAGGTTCTATATTTAAACCTCAAACGCTTTGTTCATTGCACAAGCCTGATTTTATTTCCATTCTTGCATGTCATTGGACGCCTGAATGATGTGCTCATGGTTTGAGATTGTTATATTATTCAAAAGCACACGTTCTAGGTCATTGCTGCATCATTGAGTGGTGAATTGCAAAGTATTTCAATGGTGATGTAAAGTGCTGATGGTTTGTTTCTTACGGTCTTTGTTTAGACAGGCGGTAGCTTTACTACTGCAGTCACAGCGCAAGCTTTCTGTGTTTCTCGTGGATGAAGGTGTCGTGAAAAAGAAGCAGATTTTCTCAGCAAGCCAACCGTATAAACACACAGGCCTCGCCACACACCGAGACGCTTATTTATGACCTTGTTTATGCTGGTTTGTGAGGTGACAAATTTAGCTGGCCTCAACTCTGCCTGTCCAAACATTGCTTAATAATTGAGGTTCAGAACCAGTTAAACTGATGGACAGCATTTGTGTTTATTAGCACAAAAATTATGTTTTCTTTAAAAAAAGTTTAACATTTAGTGAAAAGTTAAGCGTATAAAATTGTAATAGCACTTATATTATTTAGTTAAAACTGACAGCATTTGTACATAATGTTGATTACCACAAAAAATACAATATTTACACTTTTTTTTGTATTTAAATCAATGTTACGGTGAGGCTTTTACAATGAGGCCAATTTTTGGAGGATTTAAAGGCGAAGTTTAAAATTGTACACTTATTCTTTGTTAAAGGGGTGGTTGATTATGATTTCACTTTTCTAACTGTAGTTAGTGTGTAATGTTGCTGTTTGAGCATAAACGACATCTGCAAAGTTACAACGTTCAAAGTTCAAAGCAAAGGAAGAGATTTGCTTTTAAAGAAATAGCTTTTTAAGGACTACAACAAACGGCTGGTAGGAACTACACACATTCCTCCAGGGTTAGTGACATCACAAACCTTACATTTACATAAGCCCCGCCCCCGGGAACATGATTTATAGATTATTATGACAGAATATGCTAATCAGTGACTAGAAGATAGTAAGCTTCATAAATTCATCAACTAACCATTCAGAAATGTCCTGTTGCATTCTTCATGTTGCCACTTCTTCTTGAGTCTCTCCATCTTTGTCTGACTCCGGTTTAAACATAAAAGGCTAAACGTTTTTAAAATTTTGAGTACATCTAGGTGAGGTAATCGGAACACACACACACACACACACACACGTGCGCGAGCGAGCTTTTGAAGCTCCGCCCCCTGTGCCGGGAGCAGCAGCTCATTTGCATTTAAAGGGCCAGACACAAAACGGTGCGTTTTTGCTCACCCTCAAAAAATGACAATTTTAACATGCTATACAAAAATATCTGTGGGGTATTTTGAGCTAAAACTTCACATACACACTCTGGGGACATCAACGACTTATTTGACATCTTGTGAAAAGGGCATCATACCACCCCTTTAACACTCATCTATTAATCTATTATTTGAGCTGTAAATGTTCAAATCTAGCCTGGAAAAAACCCAGACAACTTCTGGCAAATTTAGATTTGCTCTGAAAGTTAGTCTGGCAAAGAGCTCATTCAAGCCCATTTCCAATCCGCCGAAATCGAGGCACCAATCAGAAATGTTGGGGCGGGCTTTACGCGATGACGACAGCGCTGGGATTTTGAAGCAGATTTTGTAGCCGACATTACAAAGATGGATGCCGCCGTCGAACATCACTCGTTCCAATCAGCTATCGCGTCTTTTTTAAGCCATTTGAACGTTTCCTTTTAGTTAAAAACCGAGCAAAGAACAACACTCGGAGATGTTTCTCCACCGCTCTGCATACGTCATCTCCTTCACCGCTCTGATTGGGTTTAGGTCTATCCACGACGTCCGTTGGCGACGCCCCTCTGGAAATGATCTGTCTATGACGCTTTGCCAGACCATAACTCAGTTACAACTGAGAATGGTCTGGTTTTAACCAGGCAAGTTCAAATCATAATTTTTTACAGTTTTTTTATGTTTTCATGTTAAAACTGGATATAACTTCACACAGTTCACATGTTAACTTGCCAATTGATTACGACACATTAAAAAAAAGCAATTTAACGCTCAAATTAACTTTCATTGTAAGTGTCTCATCATAACCTTGATTGTTAAAAACGTGGTGATCAACATGATGCTGTTGATTTAGATTTTAGACGACTAAGAATATTTTTTTGAAGATAGTTCAATTTAATAAATGTATTGTTTTGCCCCATAATTCAATGAATGTTTTAACAAGAGTGTTGGATAAACATACTTGACTGAGTGTTTGTGACTTAATGAATGTGTTTGTGTAAACACGTCGCCAGAATCACTAAATATAATTCAATATGACTCGTCGGGTGATGGCGTAAGCAATTTTGTGTATGTTTGTTGTTTGTGAACTTCATACTGGATCTAGATTGAGCAATGTTTTATCCAAATCGCTGTGTCATGGATCTGAGATCCACCATGTTGACCTAGTTGAACCGGTCTTCTAATGTTCGGCACTGAGCACTTTGGGTAATGATGACCATAAACCGGGCCTAAGTCCTGATCCAGCCTGACACCCCCTGTAACTCAAGCCTATTTACACATAACCCTCACAACACATGTGTGTCTTTACTTAAAACCCACCCAACGCGGCTTCACCTGTAGAGGCTGTTTGGCTTATTGGACATCAGTGAATTATTCAGGGATTTTCTTATCAATAAGAAATGCCGAAGGGCCACGTCTCTGGAGGATCTATTTCTGCCCGGCGTGTAACCTGACGCTGTTTCAGGAGTGAAACTTTCCACCACACCGTCACCAGGGATGCTTGTCTACCGTGGGCCGTGATAACGGAGGCTCCCGGGAAGAAACGCCACCGGGAACACATGCAGAATACGAGCGCTGATACCAGCTGAACATCTCTGGATAATCTCATCCGTCACGCTGTCAGAAGTGCACTAGTGTAGAGTTGCTCCAGAGGTCATGGAGATGGAATAAAGTGATTAGAAAAGTAATAATGCAATGCTATGACTATGTGTGTGTGTGTGGTGGGTATTTTATTATTGTTTAATTTTGTTTTATATTAGTGCCACGGTATTATTTGACGAATTGTAATGTCTGAGATGATAAAAGAAGAAATCTTTTAAAAATCTAGTTCTTACAAATCTTTGTATTCACATTGGCTTCTGACATTTTTTTAAATACATTTATCTTTTGATAATATTCATATAATTATTATTATTGATTATCGATTCATTATATTTTTTTAATAGATATTATGTTATATTAACATTGTATTATTATATTATTAGTGCTGTAAAATCAATTAATCGTATAGTCACATCTAACATAAAAGTTTGTGTGTGTGCGTGTACATATATATATATACAGTAGCCTATATATACACACATAACTACATACATATACACACACACATAGTACATAGGCTATATTTTCAAACTTTTATGTTAAATGCGATTTATCGTGTTTAATCGATTGGACAGCAGTAATATAATAATAATCAAATCGACTAATCACGATTAATCACATCTTACATAAAAGTTTGTAAATTTATATATGTGTGTGTGTGTGTGTATACTGTATATATATATACATAAATACATACATACTCACACAATTGCACACACACACAATTGCACACACACACACACACACACACACACACACATACATAAACACAAATATAGGTTATATTTGGCTACATACTTTATGTTAATCGCCATTAATTGATTTGACAGCACAGACATATTTCTTATGTAATAAGTCAAGTAAAACATACTAAAATATTTTCATTTTCTTTGCACCTTGAAATTTGCAAGCATAAACAGATCATATCATAAACTAGTCATATAATTCAAAACTTTATAATGATATAAGAGGGTTTTCTTTTATGGTTTATGGTTTTCTTGTCACATGACAATAAAATGGCTTCATGCATGTTGAATAATACCTTTGATTTAGCACACAAGTTTATCATTATTCACTATGTTAATAATATATTGATAATTCAATATATTTAAAAATGATTACATTACTTAAAATAACTCATCGGTTAATCCAAACTACTTATATAAAACATCTTTTTTTTGTCATCAGTGTCATATTTGTACTTTTTCTGAATAGCTGTTTGCCATTCTTCAGTGTAATGCCTTCGAGAGCTCCTCAGTCTCTGCTCTCTCGAGGCATCTCTGATTCATCATTCCCAAATATGGAAGTCCCGGAAGCGGCTGCCGGGCTCAGTTGATTGACAGCCGGGAGCGCGCCGGGGACGCCAGGACCAGAGACTTGCACAGCCGATCCACATCTCGCTTTTTCTAGAGAAAACGTGAGAGTAAAACCCGGATACCTTGTCAGAGGTAATAAATCGGTAAGAATGGCTCTGTCTCTGTCACATTTTCATTTGAGGTCGTTAGTGGGACGTTCGGGTCGCGCGGGTGGGAGGTTCTCACGGGAACGTGCGTGTTTTTGTTTGGAGGCACGCGCATTCGCTGGCAGAAATTTGGTTTGAACGAGCTGTATTTTCTGGTTTCAGTGGTGTGTGTGTGTGTGTTGGTGTCGGAGGGCAGGGTGTCTTATCTTCTCACTAATTGCAGGATCTGTCAGTTGTCATATCAGTGTGTGCAGGCTGTGGGACAGAGATGGCCAGACCGGCTCTTACTTTCGCTGTTACACAAGCTAGCCTACATTTAAAGAAGTGATGCTGTCTAGTAGTTCAGTATGAAATGTTGCTGTCATAAATCAATAGGCTGACATACTCACCTTGTAGGCCTGTATATTAGCCATAGCTAAAATTGTTTTCATTTTTAATAGTATGTAGCCTATGTATATCATGCTGTCAATCGATTAAAAAAATTAACTAATTCGTTAAACATTTTTCTGAAATTAAGCACGATTAATCGCTCCTAACATTAAAGATTTTAATATAGGCTATTTTTATATTGTAATGATTTCACATTTAATCTCCAAATTGACTAAATATTTGTTTAATGCATCTTTTTATGAATTTTAGCCATTATTCAGCATTACAGTATAATTGAAATCAAACAATTTTAACATTTATTAGTCTTTAAAAAAATATAACAACTTTTAATTTAAGTGAACCTAAACTAAACTCAATCTTCACATATCCATTATAATAAATACCACTTTTACCTGCGTTTCAACATATTAGGGCTCAATTCTTTTGGTTGGCCCAGTCAAAGCGGTTCAGATTTTTACTTTGCACAAAAAAATGCACAAAGTATTATTATTATATATTTTTTTTACTGATTTTGACCCATGTAACCTTGTAAACAGTGCTTTAAGATTGTCAGGTATCTAACAGGACATACACAGAAATTGAATAAAATCAAACACTGCATAAATTATAAATGAAATATAGATTAATCCTTATTAAAGCTGAAAAAGTTACTCAGTCTAGAGCAGTGAGTGAGTGATTTACTCTGATTACTTTGATTATCCTCGATGACAGACAGAATCAGGTTTATTAGGCGGCTGTCACTTTAAGACCTGACGCGGATCTGACACGCATCCTATTTTCTCAACTCTTTACTTTCATTTAAGACTTAATTTAACTCATTTAAGATTTGTGAGGATACTGGACAAAATTTTTTTAAAAGCACTTGCATGAACAAGAGCATGATCTTGTGAAACTCGAAAAATTTGAATATCGTGCAAAAGTTCATTTATTTCAGTAATTCAACCTAAAAGGTGAAACTAATATATTATATAGACTCATTACATGCAAAGTGAGATATTTCAAGCCTTTATTTTTTATAATTTTAATGATTATGGCTTATGAAAACCCCAAATTCCAAATTAGAATATTGTGAAAAGGTTTTCATATTAAGCTGTAAACCATAATCATTAAAATTATAACAAATAAAGGCTTGAAATATCTCACTTTGCATGTAATGAGTCTATATAATATATTAGTTTAACCTTTTAAGTTGATTTACTGAAATAACTTTTGCACGATATTCTAATTTTTCGAGTTTCACCTTGTGATACTAGCCAAAGGTTGATGGAGAGAAAACAGATTAATTGCATTAATTTAGTTAAATTGCAGAAATGAATGGTGTTAGGAGCACATGTGCTCCAGTCCTCTTCTGTATCCGGGTGAAGCATTGCTCTGCATTTAGAGTCACTCAGAAATAGATAAGTGCATCACTCCTGAAATATTACTTCAGCACAGATCATGTTGTGCAGATTGTTATACCTTTACTGGCAGACAGACTAACACACATATAGGCCAGCAAACCTTGCACTTACTGGAAATTTTGTTATTGTGATTTTAACTGTAAAAATGCTTCAAAGAAACCCTTTTAATTGGTTAACAGCAAGTTCCTTTATTACATAAGGAGATTGTAATATATCTAACCTTGCTTTTTATGTAATTTTACAGTAATTTTTTAGGGGGAAAAAACCTATTCATCTTATAGTTTTCAGGGAAAAGCCATAAACTGGCATTAATAGTAAATCAGATAATTACAATATTGGTCAAAAAGTAATGTCCGGCCTATAGGAAAATTGACATCTTCACCATTTATTTAATATTATAAAAAAAATTGAAAGCATATTACATAATTGTGCTTGTTTTATTTGTGATAATAATGCAGTGAAACATGCCAAATTGTGCCGACATCATTTTTGCCCAGGCTGTCATACAAAGAAATTATGAATGCATGAAAAACAAGAGAGTGAATTATTTATTTGCATAATAAAATAAAAACCTGTAGCTGTATAGTTTGCCTTTTTCCGCAAATAATTTAGTCAGATAAATACCGTGTTTTGTTCTTCCCCCATATTTAAAATATTTAAAAATATAAAATATTTTCTTCGGTTAACCATTGATTATTAAAAACATCACTTTTGGCCACTACTGTATGTTTCTTCTTAGTTTTGTTATTAATATTTACATACGGTTTTATGTTACAACATATGTTGTTAAATGAATGTTTATTGCATTATTTTAGTGTCTTTCTCTTTTCCATCTTTGTTATTATGATGGTTGTCAGTAAATGCGAGACTACAAAAAATGCTTTTCTTACTCAGTATTTTTGTCTTGTTTCCAGTGCAAATATCTAAAAATTCTTAAATCAAGATGCATTTGTTAGATGAGTAAAATGACATAAGATATTATGTCCTGTTTTCCAGGGGAATTAATCAAAAGTGAGTTGAAAAAATGACTGCATCATTACAATTGAAAACTGACCTTTTTAATCAGAGGTGACACATGGTTAAAGAATATGTAAATCTATAAAAAAAATAATATATATATATATATCATTATATGGCTGTATATTATTGTATCATGTTTGTTGAGATGTGAACATTCATATTAGGTGCAGCAATATATATATATACAGAATATTTTTATTTATTATTATTATTTCTCTGTATTACTTTTGTTATTTTATCACTTGTCTCAGATAATGTTCCTTTTGTTGTGTTCTGTGAAAAATATAAATAAAAAGTAAAAAAAAGATGAAAATTAGATTAAAAAAAGCTAAATTATCTGCCAATGCGGTAAGAAAAATAATATTGTTTCTGTTTGAAAAAGCTCAAAAACTCACTTAATTTTTATTTATTTGGCCAGAAAACAAGACTTAATATTTTATGTCATTTTACTACTTCAGTAAATGCATCTTGATTTAAGAATTTTTAGATATTTGGACTAGAAAGAAGACAAAAATACTAAGTAGGAAAAGCATTTTTAGCAGAAAAGGGCTGCTGGATTTACCGGTTTAAAAACTACAGTTTTAAATTGTAAAAGTTTGTTCTGTTTAGATTTTACTGTATTGCTGTTTGATGCTGTGTGTGTCCCTCGGGCTGATTCTGCCTCTCTGAGGCCCAGCTCAGGCATTTGGCAGGGCCGAGAGAATTCTCTAGAGAGATAACAAGATGACGTGAGCATTTCCACACCGGGTCACTATTAATTACTGCTGACGGGTGTCAGAGAGAGAGAGAGAGAGAGAGAGAGAGAGAGAGAGAGTTGCTCTTGTAGTGGCTACATGTTAAATGCAGCACATACGGCTCTTTTGTGTCTGTAGTGTTCTGGTGAATGAATCCGCTGTCAGATCTTCAGTACTGTAAAAAATTATCGTGTTTTTAATGGTAAAAATGCTACAGTGAAAAAACGTTAATTGGTTAACAACAGAAAGTTTCCTTACTAAATACGGTAAATGACTGTGATAGATCTGATGGTATATACATTTAATGTAATTTTACTTTTTTTAGTTTTTGAAAGTGAAAAAGAACAACTCGTATAATTTACAGTGAAAAAACGTAAATTGACATTCCCACAATTCCCTGCGTGACACTTCACATTTTATGTATTTTTGTTGAAATAACTGTTTCTTCATAGTTTTCTTAGTTTTATTCTAATCAGTTATGTACATTAGGGTTTTATGTTACATTTAATGTTGTTAAATTAATGTTTATTGCATTTTTAAAATTTCATGTGTGTTATCATGATGGTGTTTAATGTTTGTGCGAATGACTGTGCACCTTTTATATTTTAGTATTAACTGTCTTGTGGTAAATCTGCTTGTGATGAACTTTGATTGATCATGTGACTCTCATCTCTGCTGTGATTGGTGGTTGTCAGTGTGTTATAGTGGTACAAAACAGATATTAATACTTCAATAGGTCGGTAAATTAACATTATTTCAGATAATGAAATACGGTTTATTACTGTAAATTTTAAGTTAAGTCTGTAAAACCCATAACGTTGTTACCGTATTTTTGACGGTAAAGTTCTGGCAACCACAGCTGCCGTTTTTTTTACCGTAAAAATTACGGTTTATTTTTTACAGTGTGCTGTTGTAGGATTGTGTGAAGGTGCTCGGGTTGTTTGCAGGATTCTGATCTTTTGTGTTTGGTTTACATTGTATCAGTCTTTCCTTCCACTGTTTTTCTTAACAGATATGCTTTCTAAACTGAATCTGAATTACTTTTCAAATATTTGCACGTAACATATTCCACGTTATAGATCGCTTTTTTAAAATGCATTCATAATGCATTCTTTAATAAATCAGAAAGAATAGTATTGAGCATAGGAGTATAGTAATAGACTGTTTTTTTTTTCTCCGAATTGCAAGACATAAACTTGGAATAAACATTTACCTTTTCATTTTTTATTCAGTGCTGGAAACCATGTTCGGTACATATTGCATAGTTGTGCTTGGAGACGATTCGTTTTATATGCGATAATGCAATGAAACTGAGAATATTTTCAAACCAAATTGTGCCAAATAATTTTGTCTGATACATTTTGTTTAGTGTTTTGTTCTTCACACATTTTCTTTTAATATTTAAAAAATATAAAATAATTTCCACATATTTTGATGGTTTAATTTGAATTTGTAGGTTTATAAAAATATATTTATATTAAATTATATATATATATATATATATATAATGTAACATTTTTAAGTACTGTAAAGATAAGAAATTAAAATTAAGATGGATTAAGGATTTTTTAAGGAAAAAAAAGTTTCACAATATGTTCCAGAATGACTAACTAAAATATGTAATATGGTGATGATGTTATGTAATGAAATACTTTGGTGAACTGCTCATTTGGCCTCTTCTTGACGCTGTCGTAAGCGATCGACTGGTGTTTCTGTTAGCAGAGGAGTATTGAGGTGTGGTCATGTGGAGAGCTGCCAGTGAACCCGCCACGCCTTCATACAGTGTGTGTGTGTGTGTGTGTGTGCCAGATTTCCTGAAATAGTATCTGAAACTTATTTTATATTAATACTAATGTTATACTAATACTAAAGGATAGTTCCTCCTATATAACTATACCCGGAGCAAAACCCCCTATTGATAACAATGACTATTTTAAGTAATATGAGTTATATTACTTAAAAGTCAGCATGAAATGGAAGTTGCACTAGTCTTTTCTTCTCTATTGTGACGTATATCCGAGTGAAACGTAAGGGGCGGGGCTTGATTTTGTCTGTAGGGAATTGATTGGATGGTTGTGGTTTGCTATTGGCTGATCTCATGTGAGTGACAGGTTGCTCCGCCCTCGTCATCCGAGAAGAGGAAGGGGAAGTTATTCTGATTCAAGATTATGAATGTATAAAAATAATGATGTGCATCATGGATATATCATTAAGAATAAATACTGCAATATTGATTTGATTTCATGGTGACTTTAAGTAATATAGAAAGTAGGGCTGTCAAATGATTAATCGCGATTAATCGCATCCAAAATAAAAGTTTGTGTTTACATAATATATGTGGGTGCACTGTGTATAATTATTTAATATATATAAACACACACACATGCTTGTATATATTTAAGAAATATTTTCATGTATATACTGTATATAGATTTATATATAATTTTGATTATATATAAATACAAATATTTTATATATAAATAATATTTTTTTCTTAAAAATACATGCATGTGTGTGTATTTATATATATATATATATATATACAAAATAATGATACACAGTGCACCCACTTATATTATGTAAACACAAACTTTTATTTTGGATGCGATTAATCGCGATTAATCATTTGACAGCCCTAATAGAAATGTTATTCACATTGCCAACTTCAGTCTCATTCTTGCAACATTTTTGCACGAGACCTCCAAGAAAGTTAATAAATGTTCCCTCATAATTATTGTTGTCATGTTTCTGTGGGATACGTTCTGCCGTTTGACCGGTGCAGGGAGCGGGAGTGTTTTATTGAACTGACTGGTACTCCGGTCACGAAGTCCCAACAAATCAAAGCGCTTTCACAGGCCGTAACGCTGGTTTATTTATTTATTTATTTATTGCCATAACTAAACAAGTTGTCTGGAATTTTTCTTGGTGAGCTCATCCACAATTATAACACTAAGACAAATATATATATATATATATACATGGATACATACTGTATATAACCCAAGCATTACAAATAATGAAATACTGATGCATTAAGAGTTAAGAGCATAAACCATCCTACAATAAGTGCTGTTCAAGAAACATGCAGACTTTAATTTGAGTTTTTAATTGATCTATTGAAGGTAGAGGAGTTTAGAAATGTCAAGCCGTGTGTGTGGGATCTCTAAGAATTGATTTCTCTGCAAACGTGAGACATAAATGTTGTCAATGGTCGACAGATCACAACCTGTGTCAAGTCAACTCTTCATTTATACAGCTGTTTCAAAGCAGCTTTACAGTGATAATAGGAAATTAAAGTCACAGATTGTTTTGTCCTTTCAGCAGCTCTAGAATAAAGTTATTGTCCAGCTAAAGCTAGTTTTGATTGATTCACTTCCATTGCAAAGATCATTACTAGTTATTAACTTCTGGAGCTGCCAAACCACACTACTATTGAGAGAGAAAGTCAGGACGCTTTATATCACAGAACAAACAAACCTGGATATTTTGGAGAGTTTGCTATGAAGGTGAAAGTCTGAGTTGCAAGTGCACAAGTTAGTTTTGCATCTAATATATCGTGAAAAGAGTTGGAAAAATCGAGGCGCGAAATTTGAAATTGCAGTGAGAGATTTGAGGAGTTGCAAGTGCCTAAGTTTACATTTTATTTTACAGTGTCATTGTTACATGTAGTTACTATAGTAATAACTATTAATTATGCATAATTACATGCAACTAACCCTCACCCAAATCCTAATCCTAAGGACATGTAGTTACTTAATTTTACTCAGTACTTAAATATATAATTACAGTGTAACAATGACACCTTGAAATAAAGTGTAACCATGCCTAATTGAGGTTGTCCTGCGAATATGAATGTAAGAATAATAAGTGCAATTATGCACTACAAGTTTGTGTCTGTCGTTGTATTTCTGTGAATGGCATTTTACACATGTGTGACTGCTTGTCTGCAGCTTCAAATTCAGAATACAGGTTTGTGACTATTGTCTGCGAGTGCAAATCTCAAACATTCAACTTCAGATTTTTATTTTACAGGTTTGCACATCGGAGCTGTGAGTGTAAATTTTAGCGTACAAGTACGAATATTTATCGTACAAGTTCTCATATTCACATCTGCATGCTCTCGAGTTGTGCTACTCTTTCACCGGCCTCATAGTTTACTGTGTTTCTGCAGGAACGCTGTAATGGAAGCGCTGGTCGAGCGTCTGGAGAAGGCAGTGGTTCGTCTGGAGACGGTGGCTGGTAAACTACAGTTCGGGCCAGGGGGCGTGGCCAACGGTGACATCATCATCAGCAGTCACATGATCAACGGAGGTACCACACGTACAGCAGGATCTTGATAGCAGTTCTGAATATATATTAATAGTTGTAAGCATGTCTGGTCTGCTTTCATGAGTCCACAGGGCATCGTCTGTGACTCTGCTGATTATCTTAAAGAGAAGAACTCTGACTTTAGGGGGTTTTTCCTTCATGGGAAAAATATTCTCATCGGAGCAGAGTGGCATTAGCCTTGGCATAGTTTGAAATATATAATATAATATGATACAGTATTAGCTTTTGCCTCCTTCAGATTTGGGTTGGTTTTTTCTTCAGTGTTTTCAGAATAGTTGTTTTCGTGATAGACTATATTTAGGTTAACTAATATTTATTTATTTATATATATTTTTTCTGTGTGTGTGCGTGTGTGAGTGTGTCTGTGTGCGTATGTGTGTGTGAGAGTGAGTGTGTGAGTGAGTGTGTGTGTGAGTGTGTGTGTGTGGCTGTGAGTGTGTGTGTGTGTGTGTGTGTGTGTGTGTGTGTGTGTGTGTGTGTGTGTGTGTGTGTGTGTGGCTGTGAGTGTGTGTGTGTGTGGCTGTGAGCGTGTGTGTGTGTGTGTGTGTGAGTGAGTGTGTGTGTGTGTAAATGTAATATCTGAATGAATTTATCTAAATAGTGGCAAATAAATTCTTATTATCAGCAGTAGTTATTTTATTAGTATTTTTTTTTGTTACTTAGAGAAATAAATAATACAAAACTATACAGCACAATTAAAAATTGGTTCTGCATATCAGACAATAAACATAAAAAGCATCTACTTTTCTTAAAGAAAAATATCGGTTGATCTCTATATTTCATTGCCTTGTCAAACATCTAAAAAGTTCCCAAAATATACTCTACCTTTTAAAAGTTTAATTCAGTAAAAACAGAATAATTGTGAAATATTATTACAATGTAAAATAACCATTTTCTATATGACTATACAGTAAAGTGTAATTTATTCCTGTGATCAAAGCTGTATTTTCAGCATCATTACTCCAGTCTTCAGAGTCACATGATCCTTCAGAAATCACTCTAATATGATGATCTGATGCTCAAGAAACATTTTTGATTATCAGTGTTGAAAACAGTTGTGCTTTTTTTGTTCAATAACAGCATCTTTTGGAACATTACTAATGTCTTTACTGTCACTTTAATGCATCCTTGCTGAATAAAAGTAGACTTACTGACCACAAACTGTGTTTTCTCCAACTCTAACGTCTCCAACAATGAATGGGATTTTAAAGCATCCTCAGTAATGTTTGTTCTGTCACATTGATTTCTGTTTTGTTGTTCTCTCTCTGATTCGAAGGCGAATCCCAGAGCATGGAGGCGTTCGACCTCTTGCTGAGCGGTTCCGTGTGTGAATATGTGAAGACCAGCACAGCTATTGGTGGAGACGTGGCGAAGCATGTGAGTGTTAGCGGCCGCTCGTGAACATCTGTGTCAGTGCAGATCGTATAAGCAAAGTCTCATTTTTATGCGGATGATACCGTTTTGTATTGTTCTGTCCCATCCTTGACAAGTGCCATAGATATGGAAGCTTGTTTCCGCCACTGAATAAAAAAAATTAAAAAATAATTGCGATTTTTTTTATTTCACAATTGCGAGATATGAAGTGAGAATTATGAGAAATGAAGTCGCAAAAAAGACAGAATTGAGACTTTTTATCTCACAATTCTGACTTTTTTCTCACAATTGCGAGTTTGCATCTCGCAATTCTGACTTTATGACACATAATTGCGAGTTTATACCTCAAAATTCTGACATCTTTTCTCAGAATTGTGAGATATAAAGTCGCAATTGCGAGTTATCAGGCCAATTCTAAGGAAAAAAAAGACTTTTTTCCCCTCAGAATAGTTTATATCTCACATTTCTGACTTTACAACACACAATTTCGACTTTATTTCACGCAATTCTGACTTTATATCTCGCAATATCACGCAATTCTGACTTTATTTCACGCAATTCTGACTTTATATCACGCAATTCTGACTTTATATCACGCAATTCTGACTTTATATCACGCAATTCTGACTTTATATCACGCAATTCTGACTTTATATCATGCAATTCTGACTTTATTTCACGCAATTCTGACTTTATATCACGCAATTCTGACTTTATATCACGCAATTCTGACTTTATATCACGCAATTCTGACTTTATATCACGCAATTCTGACTTTATATCACGCAATTCTGACTGTATATCATGCAATTCTGACTTTATTTCACGCAATTCTGACTTTATATCACGCAATTCTGACTTTATTTCCAGTGTTGGGCAAGTTACTTTTAAAAAGTGTCCTTGTGTGTCCTGTCCTGTCCGACTATGCGTTATGATGGGTCGTTCGCAATTCATGAGCGTTAGCCGTTAGTGATGAGGGGTCGTTCGCGAATGAGCGTTAGGGATGATGGATCGACTCGTTCGCGAATGAGCTTTTGATGGGTCGTTCGCGATTCGCGAATGAGCCGACTCTAAGAGCCATATCTCGCATATCTGAAGAGCCGACTCTATTTTTACAAATTTAGCCTATAGAAATTAAATAATTATGTAATAAAAATTGAAATATTATAGTCAAAGTCATTTAAAGAGCCGTTTGTGAGCCAAAAGAGCCGGCTCAGTGAGCTGAGTCAAAAGAGCCGAATGCCCATCACTACTATGCGTGCTTTCGAAGACCCGCCTAACTCTACCTCTGATTGGCTTACAATGACATTTTATTCTACCTCAGCCAATCGTCAGCATTTATGCGCTTGTCTCGTGCTCTGCCCACTAACCAAGGAAGAACAGTAAACAAAGTATTTGCCTCTCGCTCAGAGATCTAGTTGGTCTGATGAAAAAAAAAACAGCTTCATCAGTTATAGTAACGCGCCGCTTTTTTTGGCAGTAACGGTAACGGCGTTATTAAGATGAGAAGAGTAATCAATTAGATTACTCGTTACTGGAAAAAGTAATGCCGTTAGTAACGGCGTTATTTATAACGCCGTTATTCCCATCACTGTTTATTTCACGCAATTCTGACTTTATATCACGCAATTCTGACTTTATATCACGCAATTCTGACTTTATATCACGCAATTCTGACTTTATATCACGCAATTCTGACTTTATTTCACGCAATTCTGACTTTATATCACGCAATTCTGACTTTATATCACGCAATTCTGACTTTATATCACGCAATTCTGACTTTATATCACACAATTCTGACTTTATATCACGCAATTCTGACTTTATATCACGCAATTCTGACTTTATTTCACGCAATTCTGACTTTATATCACGCAATTCTGACTTTATTTCACGCAATTCTGACTTTATATCACGCAATTCTGACTTTATATCACGCAATTCTGACTTTATATCACGCAATTCTGACTTTATATCACGCAATTCTGACTTTATATCACGCAATTCTGACTTTATTTCACGCAATTCTGACTTTATATTACGCAATTCTGACTTTATTTCACGCAATTCTGACTTTATATCACGCAATTCTGACTTTATATCACGCAATTCTGACTTTATATCACGCAATTCTGACTTTATATCACGCAATTCTGACTTTATTTCACGCAATTCTGACTTTATTTCACGCAATTCTGACTTTATATCTCGCAATTCTGACTTTATATCACGCAATTCTGACTTTATTTCACGCAATTCTGACTTTATATCTCGCAATTCTGACTTTATATCACGCAATTCTGACTTTATTTCACGCAATTCTGACTTTATATCACGCAATTCTGACTTTATTTCACGCAATTCTGACTTTATATCTCGCAATTCTGACTTTATATCACGCAATTCTGACTTTATTTCACGCAATTCTGACTTTATATCTCGCAATTCTGACTTTATATCACGCAATTCTGACTTTATATCATGCAATTCTGACTTTATATCACGCAATTCTGACTTTATATCTCACAATTCTGACTTTATATCACGCAATTCTGACTTTATATCTCACAATTCTGACTTTATATCACGCAATTCTGACTTTATATCACGCAATTCTGACTTTATATCACGCAATTCTGACTTTATATCACGCAATTCTGACTTTATTTCACGCAATTCTGACTTTATATCACGCAATTCTGACTTTATTTCACGCAATTCTGACTTTATATCACGCAATTCTGACTTTATATCTCGCAATTCTGACTTTATATCACGCAATTCTGACTTTATTTCACGCAATTCTGACTTTATATCTCGCAATTCTGACTTTATATCACGCAATTCTGACTTTATTTCTCGCAATTCTGACTTTATATCACGCAATTCTGACTTTATATCTCACAATTCTGACTTTATATCACGCAATTCTGACTTTATATCACGCAATTCTGACTTTATATCACGCAATTCTGACTTTATATCACGCAATTCTGACTATTTCACGCAATTCTGACTTTATATCACGCAATTCTGACTTTATATCACGCAATTCTGACTTTATTTCACGCAATTCTGACTTTATTTCACGCAATTCTGACTTTATATCACGCAATTCTGACTTTATTTCACGCAATTCTGACTTTATATCACGCAATTCTGACTTTATATCACGCAATTCTGACTTTATATCACGCATTTCTGACTTTATATCACACAATTCTGACTTTATATCACGCAATTCTGACTTTATATCACGCAATTCTGACTTTATATCTCGCATTTCTGACTTTATAACACGCAATTGCGACTTTTTATTAATGTTAACCACCACTATTAGAATTAAGAATGAAAAAAATGTAAAAAAGAAAAACAAAAGAATTAAAAAAGAAAAACAATGCCTTAATACTGTAAGTCAGTAATTGATTAAAATCAACAAATTGTAATATCTGGCTAACATTAATTAACAGCCATTCAACAATAGCAATCATATTTTGAGTTCATTAATATTATTAAGGAAGTAAACAGTCAATTTTGATTTCATGTTGCCATACAGTAGTGGTCAAAAGTGATGTTTGGAGGGGATATTTGTTTTTAATGACCCTACAAGTTTGATTAAACCATCAAAATATAAGGCCATTTTTTTATATATATATATTTAAATATGAGGGAAAAACAAAACACTAAACTTGGTTACGGTATTCATCCGACACAATTATTTGGCAAATTACATCTACAGTTTTCTTTATATGCAAAAAAAATGAATAGAAAAACAAAAAGAAGACAGGAAAAAGCATGCATTTACAGTTATTAATAATGAATTGGTTCTCTTTTGTTTTTACATATGTTCATAATTTCTTTGACAGCCTGGACAAAAATTACATCACACAATTTGGCATTTTTAATTGCGTTATTATTATCACAAATAAAACAATTGACTCCCAGCACAACTATGGAAATATGCTTTAACACATTTTTAATAACATTTGAATAAAGGGTGAGGATGCCAATTTTCTTAGGCTGGACATCAGTTTCGGCCACTGGAGTACATTATTATTTACAATAGGGATGCACTGATATGAAAATTTTGTCCTATACCGATAACCGATAATTCTTTATATTTGAAAGCCGATAACCGATATATTGGCGGATAAATCTAAATCCAAATTTTTATATAATTTTGAGAACCTGATTACAAAAACAAAAGCCATGTCCCAAACACACAATTATAATGTTCTCAGTTGACAGATTTTGCGCTGCGCATGTTGAACTTTACTGTACTTTCCTTTTTGAAGTGATTCGAATAGTATTTAAAGCATTTCAAAACCATCATGTTGAACAATTATTCTAATTTTGAATTTGGGGTTTTCATAAGATAAGCCATAATCATTACAATTATAACAAATAAAAGCTTGAAATATCTCACTTTGCATGTAATAAGTCTATATAATATATTAGTTTCACCTTTTAAGTTGAATTACTGAAATAAATGAACTTTTGCACGATATAAAAATTTTTCGACTTCACCTTTTTTTTTATTTTTTTTTATATGGAACTATTATTCTGCTGTCTTGGCCAGGACTCCCTTGAAAAAGAGATTTTGAATCTCAAAGGGATTATTTCCTGGTAAAATAAAGGTAAAAAATAAAATATAGGCCGATAGAAACACTGACAGAAGAAGAGCTCTTAGTTTATGGCACCAAATGTCTGCAAGCACTCCCGGTCCAGCTGTTGGTGACGCGCACAGCTGTTGCGTCGCAGGTTCACACAACTCTGCTATATCTGACATTTGGCGTTGCATTTTTCTGTGTCCCTGAAGCCTCGTTAAAATCCATTTGCATCATAACAAATGGAAAATGTGTTATTATGAAAGTAGGTGTTTGAAGAATGGAAAAAGTGAACAGCTTTTTTTAAATTTAAATTTTAATGAACCTACAAATTCGAATTAAACCATCAAAATATGAAGAAACTATTTTATATATTTTTTAAATATTAAAAGA